GGCCGCCAGGGCGGCCGCCTGCCGCGTGCGTGTTCGTGCCGGCCCGGCTGCAATTAGCACCTTGACGTGCATTAAATGAATCAAGACTCCCCACATTTCTGAGGAAAACTTTAAAAGCAGCAGCTGCAGAGCTGGCAGAAACACGGCTCTTTCCAAACCTAATGAATTGTATAATCACGTCAGTTGTTATTTTGCATCTTTCTTTCACAGCATGTCCATAAGAGCGCAGTGAGTTTTGAGCATCACCAAGACCATCCGGATACATCATCCACGTTTCCAATACTTCTTCCGGAGGCCTGGAAGCACGTGGAGCCCAGGAGCCCCCGCAGAGCCCTCCTGCCTTCCCCTCGCGGCGCCCAGCGCAGCCCCGTGGGCCAGCACAGGGTGAGGGGCACGGGGATGGCGCGGTGTGCCCAACCTGTGCCCTTCGTGCAAACCAGCCTTTGCTGTGAGCAGCAGGACAGCCGGACTGCGCAAGCCTGTCCCTGTTCGGGACAGATGTGAGGCCAGCCCAACGGGCCCATCCCTTTTTTGCAGAGAAAAACCTAAAGGTGACAGTGATCCCACCACACCACAGACTAGAGAGTTGTCATCATCTACCTATTTGCTTACACCACTTCTATCATATTTAAAACGCTTAAAGGTTTTTATCTCTAAAGGCTTCTGATCTAAACATATTACTGGATATAGAAAGAAATCGGTGAAATAGTAAGTACAAGGTCATCACTGTGAGAACCCCATCCAGCTCAATTAGAGCGTGCCCAAATGCAAACCTTTTTGCAATGCCAGTTTATACAAACACTTCATTTATATTAAAATAAGTGAAATCCTTTAAACAAAATAAAATGTAATATATGCTTGTGTGTACTCGCTGCTCATGCTCCGAATAAAGCCCCTGAATAGGAGAAGATCTGTCACAAAGCTCATGGGACGCATTAATTGTGTTCAGCCTGTTTTAGCAGTCATTTAAGAAGCATGTGAAAAGAGACTGCATTCTTCAATTTATTCACTCAGCTCATTTTTATGGCTAGTTCACCCAAAAAACAAGCGGGAGCTGTAAGAGTGGGGCCAACTATCTTCTTCCAAGCTATGAATAAAGAGAGGGTAGGAGAGATGAGTTGCATTAATTCTACTAAAGGACATGGAGACCAGGAATGATCCTTACGTCTTTGTCTAATCAACTTGCTGGAAATGTAGAGTGTGTTTAGAGAAACATTATTTCCTGTATGTATCCAGCACGCTCATTTAACTACTAAATACATTTTAAAATTCCATTTTGATGCCTTTTTAATTAGATTTCCATCCAAATGTAGCTTGATGCACCATGTGTTTGAAAATCAGTCATATGGTAAATAAGAAAGTTGCCGTTTACCATACAATAACATAAAAGTTTTAAAAATAAGTCCAATATGTACAATAAGCCACAGCAGGACTTAAATAAAAGTGATCTGATAGACAACCTTCATTAGTAAAACAAAATACAGAGTTTAGTGAAAAACTCATAATGAATAAAGAAAATCCAGTGTATTCAGTTTCAAAATCAAATGAGAATCGGCCTTCTTTAAGGACACTAACTTAGAAAAAAAATACAAACCACTGTTAAAATGGATGATTTAACTGTTTCTGGCATATGTAAAAGGCATTCATTTACATCCACACTACTTCAGAGGAGGTAAGCAATGGAGAATCACAAAAAGAAAGATTGTTCTAATAATTCATATTCCGACAGACGAGAAAAATTCGTTTTGTGGTGCCTCCCCCTGCCACGCTTTGAACAGAGAGCACTATTTCTTTTTCTGGGAAAGTCCCTGACCTGGGACTTGCATAATTTGGGGAAGTGTCTTAATGCAAGCAATAGCTAGCAAGATCAGCTTGGATATCCCTCTTGATCACTCTGCCTCTCTCTGGAGGTTTTTGCTTTTGGTTTCTCAGGTGTTTATCTCCCAGGCCCTGCAATTTGTTGTCTCAGTTGGGCTTCGTCTCCCACTGCTGACCTGGGCCAGCAGGCAGCAGGACCAGCCTAAGGTCTTCCCCTGCTCCCACAACACCCTGAGCTGCTACAAACGCTATTTTGGGGCAGCTGCCAATGCCCCAATGAAAGGAAGGACTCTGAACAAAAGTGGGATGCTCCTTCCCTCGTGCCCCAATATTAAAACTACAGAGCACCAAACCTGGTGATTTATTTCCCCATGTCCATTCTAGGGCTTTCCCCCAGGCTTCCTCACCAAACTATTCAGCACTGACCCACGAGACATTCAGCTCAAAGAGTTATTTTTAAAGAACGCTGCCAGCCAACAGGAGCACTTAGTCTCAGCCTCTGATCTTAGCAAAAGCCTTACAAGCTTCTCCTGATGTCATAAATATAAAGCAACATGGAAAACGACAAAAATCAAAGCTCTGCTTGCGGCTCTCGCTCAGACTGAAGGAGGTGCTTGGTGAGTGCTCGAGAAGACTGGGACTAGGGGCGGCTTCTCCCTTTACAGTTCACACAACATCCACTGGATCAGTAAGAGGTGCGACGGAAGGGAACAAATAACCCAGCTTTGAGATGAACTTGTCATCAGGATGCACACGAGAAAAATTCATACCCGTGCACTGACAAAGACTTTTTGCTGAAAACCCCTCAAAACGCCACGCTTAGCTTTCACGGATCCTGGCCAGGCACTAATGCCTCTACGTCCTGTGGGTGACACTGCACGGGACAGATCCCTTTGCCACCTCCTGAAGCTCATCTCGCTGCAGGTAAGGCCGGCCCCAGGCGGTTCCGCGGGCCCTGCAGCACAGCACCATCGCGGAGGCAACGCGGCTGGCTGGATTTAGAGGCACGTCACCTTCCCTGCTGGGAAAGGGCTGCGAATCTGGGCAAGTGACAAAGCGACTTTACAGGCTGGGTGACTGACATCTCCTTGGCACTCTGCCGCAGTGGTTAAAATGAGGAGAGGTCTGATTTGGGGTGGGCTGTAGCTCACGACTCCTACACTCTCTGTGTTTGCAATAGCCCTGGCTGGCTGTTCCTTTCTGCTGACGGGTGACCCTCAAGCAGTCCTTTATGAAACTGAAAAACGCCTCATGATGAAAACCTAAGGCAAATAAAATCCCCCCTTCTCCCAACCAAAAGCAGTTGATTGACTCCTGCTAATTTGAGAGTGACAGGCCAGGAAGAACATAGACCTACCTGAGAGACCTTTCTGACCACGTCGCTGCCCACAAGAAAGCCCTGGGCGTAGGAGCGCGCGGCAATGAAGGCTCGGGTGGCCTTCACCTTCAGGTCCCTGGGGACCTCCCCGAAGGGTTTGTGCTGCTCCGCATGTTTCACCATGCAGTCCAGGTACTCATCCGTGATGTGGTACTGGGGATTCATCAGCTTGAAGAGCCGCTCCAGCAAGCGCGTCCAGAACTCATTGAGGGCCTCTTCCAAGTTGATGTTGGAGCCCCTGTAATAGCGGCGTAGCTCACTGTACAAATCCTTGAAGACCTTCATGTTTTGCATGTACAATTCCCCATACATGGTTGGGAAAGCCTCATAAAGGGCCTTTTCCGATTTGTTCAGCAAATCCTGGAAATAACCTGGAGAGAGAGAGAAAAGGAGGAAGTGATGTATCAACTGGACAAGCAGGAACCTACTGGGTTGCATTTTCTGGCAGCACAACTAAGTGCCCTGTAAAAGAAGGGCGCTAGCACAGCTTTTTCTCCAAACAACCTTACCTAACCTCTCAGTTCTGACCAAGGAAATTCAAGGAAGATCCACTGCATATCCATCAGGGATAAGCTGATGGAGGAGATCTTCCCCTTTCCAACCCCTGCAGATATCTGCATCCTTCCTGCCTCCTTCAGGATGGCAAAGAGGGGACCCCACTGTGGGACTGGCCCCACTTCCCTTACCGATGGGTGGAAATGACTTTAACCATGATTCAAATCAGGCTGAAGAAAAATGACTGAATTGATCATTTTCTCTTTGGTCACATTTGTACTTTTAGGGCCTTTATGAAGCAAATTTGATTATCTTATTCCTTAAATTGCTAAATTGCTATTATTTTTTATTTGTGATGTAGGGTTGTCGGAGAGTGTTACCCAATTAAAATGCATTAAAAATGAGAGAGCGTGTGTTTAGTTATATAAATTACCATAAGCGTGCTAGAAATGTTTTGACAAATGCACATGTTGCATGGACAAAGCTGTATTAAACTAAGCGTTTTCAGCGAGGCAACGGAAATGACTACAGTTAAATGCAGCCCCCAGAGCTTTAGAGCCAGTTAAGCTCATTTTCACAGGTCTTATTTTCTTTCACAGGTTAGAAGAGCCATACCAGCTTTCCTGGTTGCTAATTCCTCGTTCTATGATGCATGTCCTTCGTTCAAAAGATTGGAAACTTACACATGCAGATTTGGTCATACATTTTCTGGACTTCTACTAAAAAAAAAGGCATTTTCTCAGCTCCCACTGGCCTCAGACATTTCACATTGGGCTGCCCAGCGGTGCCCAAGGCTGGCAGGGCCTTTCCTGCAGCCCGAAACTCAGGCAAATCAGCCTCCCTTTCCCTGGGCAGTGAAGGGCTCTGCTTCCCACACCACCCATTTCTCCCTGAAACTTCACCTTTCACACTGGAGCTGCAAAACCACTCAAAAGAATATCACAAAATGGGAGTTTATTTATTTATTTATTACTATTTTATGTTATTTTATGATTTCTGCTCACTTCCAGGCTCAGAAACAACTCAACCGGCTTTGCTCAAATGAAACTTGCCTTTTAACAGAGGCCAGTGCTGAGAAATGTCTGCCTCAAATACGAAAGGGCCGGGAAGTTATGAGCAAAAGGCAGGTTTTCACAAGGGAGCTGAGCCTGCAAGCTTGGCCACTGCTTCTCCTGCTCCTGCAGCAACGGGGAAGGTCGCTTACCAGGGAATTAAGGAACCCACAACCCTTGCAATTCAGAGAGCTTGCAGATCCCCACCATTCCCCCATTCACAGCTTCCCAGGGTTCACAGCTCATATTTTCACAGTTTCGACATTTTCACAACTCTGGATTCAAACTGGGAAGCTGTGAACAGCGAGGCAGGCACTGGTAGTTTCTCCCTGCAAAGATGGCAGGTTTTTCAGCCCTTCCTCCCCATCTTCCAGCATAAAGTACTATTTTTCAAGCTCTTTGGTACCATTTGCTCACTCAACATCTGGCACACACTGGGGTTTCCTCAGCTATCAGCACGACGGAGGGGAAATGGGTGTAGGGAGAGATGAAGAGGTCACTGAAGAAAAAGCATCCAAATGGCTCCTCATCTGGGCATACAGAAGGTTTGGCTTTCTTCAAAACACCCTGAATTTCAAACACATACTAAAAACAAATGTCAGAATTGAAGAAACGTGACTGAATCATATTAGATCTGAATATTCCTAGTATCAATATTACTGTATACAAGGCCACCATTCACCCGGGCTCGCAGCTGCGATGGGAGGCCCAGCAAAACGTGCTTGCCATTAACACCACCATTGTGTCCAGAACACTGGGCTAAAGGAGGGAGAAAAATAAGGTGACACTAAGATGTCCTGCATACCAGCAAGAGCAGGGAAAGGAACAGGCCGGGGACATTCGCTGGAGCCCACGGAGCCCCCGTGCAGGCTGTGCCGCGCGGCAGCGGCGAGCGCGGAGACACGGGGTTTTCCTGGGCTGCCTTCCCGTTCAACAGGCTGCTCATCCCAGTGCTGACGGGCTTCTCCCGTTGGTTTTCGTACTCTCCTGGCAGGCTAATATTAGAAGAGAATAGTTCAGCAGTATATTTAAGCCATTAAAATCCAAAGCTAATGCTGTTCCTATCTATTTCATTCACTTCAGCAAGTATGGTGATATTTTATTTATAAAATTGTTATTGCTCATTATTAATTTAACTGCTAACCATGCCCATGCTGGAAAGCCGGTAGGAGCGCGATGGCGGCGACAGGCCGCGGCCTGCACCTTGGTGGCCACGGTGGAAGGCAGCGAGCCCACGCGGCTCCGCTCCCCCGGCCAGCAGCTCTGCCCGTAAGCAGGGAAAAGGGGGGCATTCCCCTCTGGGCCTATCTGTCCCCTCACGATTTCCAGCTCCTTTGAAACAGCTCTTGTGTTGTCGCTCTTCCCTAGCCGGGCCCGCTCCGGACAACGCGGTGCCTCCCTGTACGCTCTGCATCGCCCTCATTCACAGTTTCCCTCTCGGAATTACAAGTGCCCTGCCTGGACCCGCGTCCAAACAACAGCAAGAACTACAAAGCTTTTAGGTAAAACAACTGCAAACTTTTAGGATTCATTATGGGTGAGGAGCATCTTTTCTTCACTGGAAATACCAGTTGTACCAACTGCCAGGATTGCATTTCCCTTTTTTTAGGAATGCCTCACAGACATTTATCTCCAACTGATACATCCCAAACTCTCTCCGCTGCTCCTCCCAACCAACAAGTCCCCAGACGTATGGTCAAGGAACACTGAATTTCACCCTATTTCTATTACTGCAGATTTCACCCTGTTTCTATTACTGCAGCCTTCATGGTTACCTGCCACCCTTTTCTGCAGCGGAACCTTCTCCAGCTTTGTGTCATCAGCGAGTTTCATGGCCACATTTATTAGCATTTTTGCCACCTGAGAACCACCATGGGGATCTCCCTCAAACCCAACAGCTCTTCCTTCAACACAACATGTTGCTACCTCCTCTGAGTTACCTCTCACCTTCCAGTTCTTCTATTCGTTTCCATCTTCTTCAGCTTAATTAGCTACTCAAGGCATAGATGCAAATGCCTTTGAAGTCTCTTAAAATGAGATTAGTTGATAGAAAAGACACCACAGGAAGAGTGGTGAAAGCAGGTAGCTATATTGGATTTGACCTATTTTCTAGAATAGCTAGCTTTGGCTAAGAGCTGAAAATGGCTTAGCTTAAACTGTTTTTAGACTGTGATATACAGTAGACAGCTTGTTTCCTTTGTCATTAAAAAAAAGCTTTTGAGAAAATAAAGACTTTTTTTCTTTCTGCAAAAGAAGGTAGCTGTGGCATGAAAATCTGATCAGGAATAAGGAAGTCCTAACTGAGAGGCAAGGAGAGAGACAGCAACTCCAGGCACTTAATAGAAAAGGGGCTCTTTTCCAGCCTGAATTTGGATAACATTTTCCTATTTTATAACACAAGCTTTGAGCCCATTTGGCACTGCTCCCAGTGGCAGGCAGAGAGGCAATTATTTGCACCTATTATTTTGCCTTTTCCTCCTCTGCTGTTTCTGTAGTTTGCCAAGATGATTCGCTCTTATTTAAGGGAAGAAGCCGGGCTCTCGATTCTGGAAATGAGGCTGGAGGAGACACTGGGGACTGGGGACTCCCCCGGGGAGAAGAGCTGATCCCTCTAAAGGAGGGACAAACCTTGGACCTGCTGCTTGTCCTCCCGGAGGGCTGGAAAAGTGACAGGTCTGGGTGCCACAAGCACCACCGTGGTGCCGCAGAAGGACATAGGGAGGAAACCACTTCAGACTTGGCTGTTTCCATGCATGCCCCGCAGAGCAGACAAAGACTCTCTAAATACAATTTAACGCAGTAATTCCGCGACGTTACAGGCCAAGGCCTGTGCCGGGGCTGCAGCGGGACAGGTGCCGGAGCATCCTTGCGTCCCCGGGTGCAAACGCTGCCGCATTCCCTGCGCCGGGCGGAAAAACCGCAGGGGGCAAGTGGTGAGCACCTGTTGGGAAAGCGATCCCAGGCGCCACCCAACACCCTCCGCGATCCCGGGATATGGAATGCCAGGAACCGTTCTGCAGCTGGCATCCCAACCATTTGCCTGGCCCGCTCCGCTGTTGTTCAGACCTTTAATTCCCTTTTCAGGGAGCTGGACCCGTGTGCTGCGTGGCCACTGCTGGCCTCTTGCAACGGGCCTCCTATTTAACGTGCTTCCAAGGAAAAGGATTTCCCTCCTTTGGTTTTACCCTAAATACTATGAGCAACAGCCCTTCTAGCGTGGGAAATGCCGCATATTCACCCCGTTTGCTTTCTTTAAAGACCTCTATTAGAGCTCCATCTCTTTGCTAAGCTAGATTGTCATATCTATAAAAAGCAACTGCATTATTTCACTGTCTAGGCTGAATCGTCAAATTATTTTCCCCACATGTACCCTGGGGATCCGAACCTGCAAGGGATTTTAACCAGGACTCCTCGTAAATAGGTTTGTGCTCTGCCTGCAGACTTGCAGAAATGAGCTGTTCCAGTAGGCTCCAGTCAAGCTGATTTCACAGCAACGGCTTTAGGTGAGGAGGATTGGGAAGGGCGACTGGGATCCATCAATGCCTGACCCAGGACCTCGTCTCCATCCAGGGGACCTTTTGGATAACAGAAATTACACGAGAGAGTTTTTCCCCCAAAGCCTGTCTGTGTTTTAGGGCAAGGTGACAAGCACCATGGACACCCTGACGGGAACAAGAAGGGTGTAAGAGTAATTGTGAGCAATGCCTGTGCCCTTCCAGGGCTACTCAACAACATCTGCAGGGCTCTATATTTCTTTAACTTTAAAATAAACTCAAAAGCATTGTATGATACTGAGGGTTGCTGGCAGTTATAAAAAGTGTGAT